AGGGCAAGTTGGCAGTGTGTTTGTGCTGTTTGTACTGCACCAACCTCCCTGCTGTCTCACTCTTCCCTCTGCTGGTAAGCAGCAGTGACGCAACAGCCAGGAGGTCAGGTAAACAATGACCCACCACACTGTCTACTACAGCATGAAAGGTCTGTATTCAGCAGCCTTCAATGACACTGTAGGGCATGTGTGCAGAACCTATAGCCCTCCAAATGACAGTATTTTCAGTAAGCCCCCTTATCATGCCCACACAGTTTTGCAAAACTTCAAGGTTGACAGGGTATAAAGAAAGTGCCAGCTCCCTCTCTTAGGTAAAAAGAGATAGCTGCTCCTCACAGGGATGCTTTCTCCAAGGCCCAGCTTGCTGCACATGGAGAGGACAGAGGAACATGCATTGTTCCTCCATGGCTGCCCTTGGCCCAGAGCATCCTCTGAGCCAAGCAAAGATGAGAACAAGGCTGTGTTCCACTACTTACGAAGCAACCTTGTGGAGCACTAGCCTTTCTCTCATTATCTAAGCTGGACACAGTGAAAGCAGCAGCATTAGCTCCTAGAACCTACTGATGCAACCACTGGTGCTCCCCCTATGTCCTGGTGTCAAATCCTGGCCCCAGCTGAGAGTGTCATTCCACTGAGCATTTCCCCAAGACATCTTGCTCCTTAAGACAGAGCATCAAACTGCAGCCCCACCCATGCCCTCTGTCTAAGTGCATAGTGTCGAAGACCAACCATGCTATTTTGGTATCTGAGGCAGAAAACTCTATGAGCACCTTTCTTCTACTTTCTCCAGCACTCAAAAGAACAATAAATGAAAGCATTCCCTTCTCATGACACTCAATATCATCTACTTGGGGCTGCTACCTCACACTGCCCAATAGTAGAACTGGCCCTGTAATAACCCACAGCATTATCTGCCACTGCCTGTAGGAAAGGGTGTGCTCAGCACATTGGTACCAGATAGCATGTGGTTATTGTTTTATGTGACAGCCCCCCTGCCCATGTGTGTGTGTGAAATTCATCACTGCACAATTTAGATGTGTGAATTTTGAAGGATGACTGCATTCTGGTACACACATTGTTCCAGCAAATATGAACTACTGAATCATTTCTCCCATCCTTACACCCAGATAGGTGTGCAGAGTTGCCTTTTTAGAGCAGGGTTGTGGAACCTGTGACCCTTCAGAGGTTGCTTGGCTCCAATGCCAGCCAGCTCCAGCCCTCACTGCCACATGCCAGGGATGATGGGAGGCATCATCCAGCAACTTCTGGAGAGCCAGTTTAGCCACCTCTACCTTAGACTAATAATACTATTTGAAATATTTATTGATTACCAATTTTAGCAGTTGCTTTCCAAAGAACCCCCGGTGTGCTCCTGCTGCCATGATTGTAGATCTCTTAACATGTTCCTGTAGGAACAGAGCGTCTGTGCCATGCATTTCTCTTTAATTCCTCTTCCCCCATTATGCATAAACTTGGAAGCAATTCACTAAATGCATTCAGATGCATGTCACCTGCAGATGTAAAACACATCTGGTACACGGAGTTCTTTGCAAATACAATGGAAATCAGTAGCTACAGAGGCAAAACAGTGGAAAACTTACTAATGTGCTGCTCTTCAAAACAACAATCCATATGTATGTCTGTCCTCAAAAGGACACAGGAGCAACAATAAGGAAGAGGGTGTGTTTGCACTGTACATTATGTGCATCAGGTCTTTGTAAGATGCTGTCCTTTCTGCTTTGTAGGATGCACCAGGTCCTCTCTGCTGTGAAAGTGTAAGAAATTTTGCCAGAACCCTGCTGGGCTGCTTCAATCTGGCGCTGCATTTTCCTGTCACTGGAGGTGTGGAGCAGACTCGTGTTTTCTCTTCAGCATATGGCACCAACTGCTGGTGTTTCTGCAGCTATGAAATCCAGATGCCCACCTCCAGGATGATTCTCCCTGGTTAGGGACATCTGGGCATCACATCCTACTTCATCACTCTTCCCCCTCCCACTGCCACCTTAATGGTGTACGTATTTATCAGGCTTGTCTGGAGATCGCTGAAAAGGCCAGCACAGCTGCCTGGCTACCCCCTTCACCGGGATATTTTAAGTGGCATGTAAGGCTCCCCCCCCCCCAAATCCATTGGCCTGCCGGAAAGCAACGCTGAGAGAATTCCTCTCTTGGCTGTAAAATTTATGGTCTGTGGCAGTGCCTGACATTTCCAGGGGAAATGCAAACACCTGGAGATTCTCCAGGAATCATTTTTACTTCTGAGACATACTGGGAGGCTGCAATTCCATTGAAATAGGCTTCTCCATTTAGAGAGGTCAGGCAAGATTTAGTAGGAAGTAACACTTGGTGTTTCTGCACACAGATCCTCCTGCCCCCCAATTCTGATATTCATTTTCAGACATATTCACTACATACAGTATTTATTTATTCTGATCTTTGTTATTGTCCCACTAGAAATATGATGGGCCTGATAAGGTTTTCCAGTTGGCTTTTTGCTAGTGTGACTTCACTGGATTCTGATATATGACACACTGCAATGAGATCAATCAAACCTTGCGTCCACTGACAAAAGGTGCTTTTTTCCTTAATAAAGCTATCCTATATCTCTATAATAATTTTCACCCTCTCCACCACTCCGTCACACAAACTCTCTGTTGTCTGCAGCTTGTGATACCACAAAAATGGGTGCTACTTCTGCTCTTTTCTGCAAATGGAAGCTTACGATGTTGTTAAGTAAAAACACATCTCTAAAAGAAAAAACATGGAAACATGGAAAATTTCACCTAAAAAGGGGGGGAATCCCCTTTGATGATACCTTCTTTTCCAAATAGGTAGGTAGGTGGGTAGGTAAATAGATAGCTAGATGATAGATAGATAGATAGATAGATAGATAGATAGAAAATTTGGTTAAAAATCCCAAGATCCTAGGTGCTTTTTTCTTTTCTTTTTAAGGAACCGAAATACATACTTGGGAAATGGGTCAGGCACTATTCTTAAAGATGCTGCATTTATGTTGTTGTTTTTTGCATTTGGGATTTAGGAGTATTTGGCTAAAACAATCACTGTGATATGATGCAATATGTTATAAATGTCTTGCATATCAGGTATAGAATACAGAAACATTTTAGAACTGGTATTTATGAAAAACGTATGGTCTAGGGGGAAATGCATATGGGTTGTTGTTGTTTTACTAATCACAAATATTTCCTTGTTGTATCTATGCAACAATGTAATCCACACACACATACAAAAGGGAAGGGGGCAGAACTGAAGTTGGTGTCCTAGACTAACAAAGATCCCATTCTACCTACACCACATGGCTGTCATCCTCCAGATCAGTCACAGGAGGTGATTTAACATAGGAAGGAGGGTTTTGTGCCCCTGTACAACTCAACTGGAAGAAAACAGAGTGAATTAGGGTAAAAATCTTAACTGCACACAACATATTACACAACAAGGCTCATTTGGGAGTGTGTCATGAGGCTTGCTAAACTGAAAACAAAACAAACCAAACTATGGGAATAAATAGCATCATATTAGATGTTTGCTGTAGGGCATTAGCTTACAGGAAATATATCCAGAAAGCATTTCTCATTAATTTATAAGGAACCTGTGTGTGGCTTCATTTTATACAAACAAAGAGGTATTTTGAGAAAATGAGTTGAATGGATTTGTGCATGACAAAACAGGTACTCTATATGTTCACATGTGAATGCACATGTGTTTTCTACATGATTTTTACCCTGTGCAGCAAAGAAACCCTTAACTCACAAATGAACCCACCTTTAGAATACCCCATCAAGCTGCCTGACAGGGCAAACGTCTTCTCAGAAGCAACCCCCCCTTGAATTCAATGGCATTTACTCACAAGCAATGGCATTGTAAATGTGAGTTGAGCTCCAAACTGAGCTTATGGTAAAGTACAGTAATTACTCCATTTCTTCACCAAGTCCCAAACTTAGTCCAAGGTGTGGGGAGCCTTTCTCCCTCCAGATGTTGCTGAACTACAGCTCCCATCATCCCAAGCCATTGGTCATGCTTGCTAGGACTGGTAGGAGTTGTAGGTCAGCAACATCTGGAGGGAGAAAGGCTCCCCACACTTGCTCAGTACAGATCAATCCAAATCAATCTAAGCTTATAAATTCACTGACATTTCTCTAAAGTTGCTACTTCAGGATATTAGGGGGTGCATTCAACATGGTGGTAAAAAGAACATTACATCAGCACAAGGATTTTCATCATGCTAAACTTCATGTAAGATGTTCCTTAGATGAGTCTTCATCTTTCCTACCTGTATTATCTGCAGTCTATGGTATGGGCTGTCTGGAGTGTAAGGGGAGGGATAGTACCACTGGTGGGGGACACGTCGTGTTCTTTTTGGGGTACTTTGTCTACCTTTGGTCCCCACCCTGCACTCCGCTCTCACCTGTGGCTCCTAGAAGCTGTCAGCATGTGACAGTGCTCTGCTTTCTTTTGGAACACATAAACAAGGCTAAGAGGGGGGACTTGCCGTCTGGGCAGCTCATAACCTCCATATATACTGCCCAGGCTTGTGCACCAGAGCAGTCACTTCAGTGCTGCTAACACAGCCAAAACAATACAGGAGGCAGCAGTTACGAGTTACTGGTCTCTGTTCTGTAATTCTCCAGCAGTTTGACTTCACCTCCAGAAGCACACTCCATTGCCTCTCAAGACAGAAGGATGCCAACAACAGTGGCATGTATTTCATACCTGACCATAGCACAGCTACACTATATCTGGTGACCAAGGAAGTTGTTGCATAGCAGCATCAACAACATATACTGTGCTGAGATCAAAATCCCAATATGGTGGGCGAGTCATGAGGACGTGCCCAGCACAGCACTCATTGTACTTCAAGGTGAGCACTGCAACTAAGATCAGGCTTTCAGTCTATATTAGGGATGGATCATAGAATTGTAGAATTATAGAGTGGGAAGGAAACACTAGGGTCATCTAGTCCAATCTCCTGCAATGCAAGAATCTTTTGCCCAACATGGGATTTGAACCCACGAGCCTGAGATTAGAGTCTAATGCTCTACCAGCTGAGCTATCATCTACCCTTTAAAATGAATCTGCTCATTTCAGTGTGTACCAGTTCAATTTGCCACATTTCTGTATCACTCTGCAATTAAAAAAAAAAATCCTCACAAAAATGTGTGTTTTAGTACAGCTTCTCCTAATATACACAGATTGGTAATGTGGTTAAACAAATTTCCCAGAAATTCCTCTAATGTTCATAACACTAATATGTGCATGCTTATGCAGACTTTAATATGAACAGTTTTGTACTCATTTATAGTGGGAGAAAGGCATTGTGAAATTCATGCAATTTCAAAGGATAGTTGTATTTTGGTTCACATATTTTGGAGAAATTGGATTCGAATTAAAATGTGAACCAAACCAAATTTATCCCCCATCCCTAGCTATATGCACAAGTGTAACGTTTATCACCCTGTTCAGTATTATTGAATTTTCAAGCTAGCTTGAATCTCCATTTTACTCTTCACCCTTACCATTGTCTCTGAGCACTTATCACTGAAGAACATGCCTGTTTTGACACAGAGATATCCAAAGGTATAACTGATGTAAAAACACCAGCGCAATGTTTTACAGCCTGAAACTTCTTTTACAATCCATATACAATGTCAAATGTGTCAGGTCAGTGATACTTTTAAATGGATATTTGACAGGATGTTTTAAAACCATTATGATGTTTCGTGTTAATCTAGGAAGGTCTGGAGAGCAAAGTTGTTCTAATATTAACAACTCTAATGACTGTATAATAATTTAGATGGTTCCTTTAGACATTCAAGAGCATTTATATTCATGGCTTTACTTTTATTTTACCATTCATAATGGAAGCAAGATTCTGATATGAGTTTTTGGAACCAAGGAGATGCCAAGTAGGTCTATATTGAGCTAATTCTCAATTCCACTCAGAAAAAATATTAAGTGTCTCTGCCTGCTGCATTCTAAAACTGAGCCTTTCCAAGATAGTCCTTTCTGTGTGCAGAAGACAACCAGACTTGTACTTCCAGTACTGGCATTGCTACATTGTCCACCATCACACCAAGGCTAGAATTGCACCCTTGGCTCTGTCCTCCTCCGCCTAGCTGCTGCTTGCTCACCACTCAGCCTGGCTAATGCTCAAATAAATGTTTAAGTGCAACCTGTGTGATGCTTGTCCTGGCCTAGCTGCCTCTCTGCCTTCTTGCTTGGTGAGGATCTTTTCCTAACACTGCTGTCATGAGACAGGAGAAGGTCTGACAGATTTGCAGTCAAATCTAACAATGCATATTCTTGTGAGTTAACATGTGAAGGGCTGAGACCACAGAGCCACATTGCTGATAGGCTGACCATATAAATGTAATTGGTTGAGAACGCTCTGTGTGATGTCATTTCTCCTCTTCTCTTGGGCGGAAAGAATCAAAGAAATATTTCCTGCTCCTTCCCTCCCTCCCTCCCTCTCTTCATTAGCAATGTCAGCAGATGTATATTCAACTGCTCCAGGATCAGGCACATGCCCAAGGCTGTTTCTACTGCAAATATTGTGCCTGCCTTTATTTATTTATTCATTTATGTCACTGTGGGTTAACCACAAAACCTAGGGCTTGCTGATCAGAAGGTCAGTGGTTCGAATCCCTGCAACGGGGTGAGCTCCCATTGCTCAGTCCCAGCTCCTGCCAACCTAGCAGTTCGAAAGCACATCAAAGTGCAAGTAGATAAATAGGTACTGCTCCTACGGGAAGGTAAACAGCATTTCCGTGCGCTGTTCTGGTTTGCCAGAAGCGGCATAGTCATGCTGGCCACATGACCCGGAAGCTGTACACCAGCTCCCTCGGCCAATAAAGCGAGATGAGCGCCGCAACCCCAGAGTTGTCTGCGACTGGACCTAACGGTCGGGGGTCCCTTTACCTTTTTTATTTTACTGCTGAGAATGAATGCATGACTATGAGTAAGCAAATCATATTTTAAACTTACTTCTCAGTCTGTTGTCTGATTCTGTGTTAAGTGGAGTAAGAAAGAAAGCCAGCTTGCTTCGCAGCAGGACTTATTAAAAGAAGCCTTCATAGTCTATTCCTTTGCTTTCCACTTTTCTGCTAAGGATGGGACTTTGAACTCTGCTCGGCCATGTGCTTTAAATACAGTGGTAAGCTGACCTCTTTGTGTGTTCAGCGCACAAACATGGGTGCCTGGAGGGATAAATTGCTATTAATATATCCTCTCCTACCTATTAATATCCATCTGGGATTTTTGTTTAATAGGAATGGCTGAATTGGGGGTTAGAGGAACAGCCTCCAGGATCCCCTGTCCCACAGCATCTGAAGCCTGAAACAGTAGCTTCGCCTGAGATTGTGGCTTCACCCTGCTTAATGGTAATGCCAGACATTGACTTTTCTTTGACTGTTAGTGTATTTCTACTTCCAAAGCCATATATTTGATTACAACGTGCATTCATTTACAGATCTTGTCTTGCAAAACAACCCCCACTAAACTCATGTGCTTATATTGACACAACATTTCCATTGCCTGCTTCAAGTATATATTGTATACAAAAACTCACACAACCATCAAATTGTTAGGATGGGATTCACCCAATAAAATATATCAGTGGAAATTCTGTGCTAGGGCTTTTGCTTCTACATTGGGACTTTCCCCCTCTCTCCTTCTCCTGTGCACCTCTGCAGCCCCAAAATTGGATCTGCGAGGGTCGGGAGCACCCCCAGAACAGCATGGGGGGAGGGTCATTTCATCTGGCAAGCTGATATGCTTGCACAGACAGAACATTTGCAACAGTAGGGTGTTGAATTCCACCCTGTATCTTTAAGTAACTACAAGGTTGCTTGTTGGTTTTGCTACAATATGTGGCATGGTTAAGCTTCTAAACAAAATTCCATAGTCACACCTCACTCACCTTCTCTGTGGAAATCTACCATGCCTCACATTAAAAGTGGCATAGTGAAAGAAAGCTTGGGGCATATCCAGCTAATATCTGCTAAATCGGAATCCCCAGATCCCAAACCTAAATTTCAATCCAGTCTCAAACGCACATCCTAATTCTAAATGTACTGTAAACAAGGTTTTAGAAATACTGATCTTTAATTGCAGCCTAATTGTGTTAGTACATATGTTCTCCAATACCATCATACGCCATGGAAGGCCACTCATAACTTTAGCAGTCCATTCTTTTAAGGTGAAAGTGTTTATTTCCACACCACAATTAGGATTGAAGCATAAATGTACTTCACTGCATAATAACTGTGGGTGACAATCCCTTCAGCCCCCTTTTAACCAAAAGAACTTGTCAAACAGAGTAAAACTGTGGAAGTCAGCAGCTAGTAGAGTTAGGCAACTGAGGCCTAAATTGTGCCTTCACCACTAGACTGGACTTCCTCTAATGATACATATTAATACCACAACAAAGAAGCCCCTTTAAGAGTCATGAGGCCTGTTCATACACTGCATTTTTCTGTCCACAGAGACAGTCCCATTATTCCCCCAGATACTCAGAGAACTAGATATAATATATGGAGCAGGTGATCACAACATTGTGTTATCGAGCCACTGAAACTGGCAGATTTGTTGCCATCTATATCCCTGATTGTCTGACTCCCACATTATGTAGAACTGCATATCCAAGGAAGGTCAGGACTACCTGGGGAACAAATAAGGTATTGTGTGAGCCAGTCCTTAGGATGATGCAGAATAATTAAATTGCTCCCATATTGTACGAGAAAGATAAATATTCATAAAAATGTTGGTGTGCTAACACAGCACCAATAATTCAGATGTATCTGTGTGGAATTAGTTTATAATACATTCCCTGCTCCCTTTCCCTTTCCTGCTTCCTCTTCCTTTTAAATCTTTTTAACTCCTCGCTTTTTACTGCTAATCATTTTTCCTCTTTGCTAATGATGCTAACCTTACAGCCTTCTGCAGGCTGACTTGTTTCATGTCACCCTTCAGTTTAGTTCTCTCTCCCTTCCACTTCACTCCTCTTCTTCATGTTGCCCACTTTTGTTAAGTCACAAAGCAAGATTCAGTCTATTGAATGCCAACTTCCCCCACTCTTATGCCACCCCACCCCGTCTTGAATATTATTTCAAAGGCATTTTCAAGTTTGATGGTATTCTGGCATAGCTGCTTCCATTATTTTCTTATCATCATCACATTGTATTTTCCTCCTCTCGCTACCTACCTCCCTCTCTTCTGCATCCCAGTTTATATGTGCTCTAATAGCTCTCTCGAGTCCAAGAAAAGGTGCCCTACTGAGGTTGACACAGTTTAAAGGATGGACTTCCTGTACTAACATCTGTCCATCCTTAAGGAGCAGGTAGATAACAAAATGGGGGGGGGCACCTCAACAAAACAGAATAGGTTTTCCCCCTCAAAAGTGCTTGGGATACAGAAAATTCTCCTTCATGATAGCTTAAGATGCAGTGGACATGAATTGACTTTATCTGAAACAGAATCAGATAATCTTGCCCATGGTGATCTATTCTGATTTGATACGTAGTCCCAGGACAATGCCCTCTTCAGCCATTGCAATCTGCTGCCCTTTAGTTGGTCGTGATTGACCTTAAACATGCATAGCACGTGCTCTAAGATAGGTACCCCCACCTAACCTCAGAAGAAGAAAAATGATTCATTGGAACATTTATTATTAGTAAAAACAATTTAATTCACAGCAGACAAATGTTCCCATATCATAACTTTCCAAATCCCAGTTTAGTCCACTTCTCAAGTATGAGGGTGCAGGACTAGCCAACATGGTGCCTTCCAAAAGCTGTGGGCCTACAACCACCATTACCCCGGATGCTGGCCATGCTAGCTGGGGCTGATGGGACTTGTAGCCTAATAACACCTGGAGAGAACCACATCAACTACTACTACTCCAGCACATATTGGTGCTGGTTCACCACAACAAAATAATTGAAAACATCACATGTTAACTGGCCCCTATTTACCAATTTGATAAATAAGATGTGTAAGAATTCCTGTGCTATGAGAAAATTCATCAGGATTCTTTACATTCTAGAGACAGTCCCTCAA